AACAACATGCTTTTCAATTGGTTTATCTTGGTCATCTTGATCTTTTTCAGATGACTTTTAATAGTTAATTTTGGGACAATCAGATGAGTCGTTTTCTTCAGTCGTTTTTTCAAAGGTCTTATTGATACATCTTTATTATCATCTGGCATCTTTTTCAGAAGGCAATTTTATTGTTATTTTTGGAACAGTTTGCTGCACATCACTATTTTGTACTGATAATTGTTCTTATCAGCAGGTAATTTAATCATTAATTTAGGAACTGTTTGATGAATGGATTCCTTTTCAATAAGTTTTGTCCTGTTCTTTTCAGACGATAGTTTTATAGTCAGGAGGTACAGTAGAGTGTGTTGTACAAGCTCATCTTCATACTCTGATCAGAAGTTTCTTTACTTAGTTGGCCGGTAGATAGAATCCGCAATTGATTGATCTTCTGGATTTAATCTCAAAGTTAACTTAGGTACCTTTTGTTGAACCACATCATCTGTAGAAGAAAGTAGCTGTTGATTTACATTAACAATAAGTTTGATATAACTTCAGCAGATTTTTCACTGGTTCTTATTGTCAATTTAGGTATGTTTGAGTAGAAGACACTTGATCAGCATTAGTTTCTTCAGGCTTATTGAGAATTTTAAGCATTAACTTAGGAACGTGTGCTTCATCGGACATTTTACATTCATCAGTTTCAGACTCAGAAGTAACTTCTTTGTGCTTACTTCAACAGGCAGCTTCAAAGTTAGCTTTGGAACAATATTTTTAGAAGATTTCACTTCATCAGAGTCTGATTCTGATGAAGGATCTTTATTATCTATAGGTATTTTAAGAGTTAATTTAGGTACAATCTCTGCTTCAGGTTTTACTATTGGTTTTATTGTAAGCTTTGGTACTGTTTCAACTTTGTCAATAAGTGGTGGTTTGCCTTCCTCCTTCTGCTTCTCTGTATCAACTACGGGTTTAATAGTTAATTTTGGTATATTGGATTCTTCATCTACAGGTTTTCTAATTGGTTTAATCGTTACTTTAGGAGTTTTATCAGTCTTCCCACACTCCCTATTTTCAGTCAGGCCAGACTCAGCAAGTTTTTGAATTTTTGTGATAATAGAAGTGAATCACTTTCAGCAGGGGCGTTTAAATTAGGTTTTGTGATAGATTTAGTTTTTTAGAGGTCCTACCTTACAATCATCTATTTTTGTTTCCACTTTATCAACTTCATCCGAATCATTTTCAAATGTAGTATCTGCTATGACACTTGTGTCCAGTATGCTTGATTCTGATTGTAAACTTTCATAAACAAATTAGAACAATTTGATTAAAACGGGTTTATTGGATTTATTTGATTTTTGTACTTGGGGTCACAGTACTGGTGGCATCAGAAACATCTGTATCAATAGATGTCTCTTCTGAAAACTTCCATAAGTTGTTCAGGCATTTCATTTGTGATAGCTTCTTGAATATCGGTATCCAATTTATTAGATTTATCTTCAGAGTCTTCAGACACAGGAACATCAGGCTGCTTTCTGTTATGATTTTTTCTTCACATCATCAACGCTAGGGCATCTTTGGGTTCGTCAGTAGTCTCAACAGTTTCCATACTTTCTACTACCTCAGTTTCCATTAGTATATCTACAGTTTCTGCAGGTTTTATTAGTTCAGCATTTTCGTATCTTCTTCCAGTCCAGTAGTAATTTGGTCACTTGTCAATATATCTTCAGATAATTTTTCAATACTGATTGATTTTTCACTTTCTTCCTCGTTATTATCAGATACTTCAATATCTTTTACAGGTTCTTCTGTTAATTCTACCTCTTTCAACATTTCTTCTGCTTTTATCGTTTCTTCCAATTCTATTTCTAAGTCTTTTACCAATAATGTATTTAAATCTATAGTTTCTGCAACTTCTAAAACGTTTACATTGTTGGCAATGCTTGTAGCAGCTTGAGCATGATCAATTTCTGTGGATTTGAAATTATATCATCATTAATTTAAAATTTCTGATTCTACAACAGTTTCTTCTACTTCAACGTTTTCAATTAGATCAGTATTAACAGGTTCATGCACTTCTGCCTGTTTCACTAATGATTCAACCTCGAGTATATCTGTTGCCTCACTTACCACATTCTCTATACTTTCTGGATTGTTCACAGTTTGTTCACATTCAATATCATCAATTATTGTTTGTTCGTTTCTATAGCCATTTCTTCAGTTTTTCGAAACCATTTTAAAGTTAATTCCTCATCTGCAGGTAAACTTTTGGGTTCTTCATTTGCCAGAATAGATACTGAATCATCTTTAATATGTGTAACCTGCTCAGTTTCTATTGTTTCAATAGCTGGTGAAGATTCATCTATTTCTGGAGCCTCTGTCATTTCTGCATCAATCATAAAATCTGTAATTGTCACTGAAGATTCTTCAATTTCTAATGTTTGTTCAACAATTTCTAAATCTTTACTTGATACAACAGTTTCTATTGCTTCTGGTAAAGATTCATCTATTTCTGGAGCTTCTGTTATTACTGCATCATTTATAGAGTCTATAATTGTCACTGTAGATTCTTCAATTTCTGGTGTTTCTTCAACAACTTCTAAATCTTTATTTAGAACAGCAGTTTCACAATCATAAAACTCCATATCATCATCGGTATCAACCGTTTGACTAGTACCTGCTTTAATTTGTGGTAGTTCACTTTCTTGACAAGATTCGGGCATATCATCATCCAACGGAAGCTTGTTCATATCAACTTCTGTTACTTGTATTAATTCAGTTACAATATCATCTACATTACCTACATCAGTTCCAGAAATAGTTTCAGGTTCAGTATTAATGGGAGTTTCAGATTCGACAGCATTTAAATTTTTATTATCTGAATCATTGATTGTTGTTTCTTGTTTGATATCTTGTCCGTTGCCACTGTCTTCAATAATTTTATTACCTTCATCTGTGCTAGATTGAGGATCTTTCAGTAAATCATCATTTATAGTATCGGGTAGAGCTGAACCACCCATAATAATTAAATTAATATCATCAGCAGATAAGGCTTTAGAAGTATTGAAACCATCACCTGATTTTTCACTATCTGAGCTATGAACTATTTCTTTTGATTCCAGATTTTCAGGTAACTTATCATGTGGAATAGCTGTATTTTTAGATTTATTACTTGAAGAATCATTTGATGAATCAGATTCATCATATTCTACTAATTTTAACCTAGTTCCAAGAGAAGCTTTATTTTGAGAATCGGTTTCGGTTTTATCACTTGACTCTGTAAATTCCATTATGAACGTTTGTGCAATACTTATTCTAAAACATTCACACTTTTAACTAAACAATCTCATAAAAAACTTAAACTAACAGATAAAATATATAACTTTAGCTTATAATAAAAAAAATCATCTTATATACACTAAATACATTTTGTTAAATAAAGTTAACCAAGCTTAACCTCAAATTCACTTTAGATTAAATATACTATTCACTATAAAAGTTCGAAATCATGATTTAAAAAAAGGTATACATTTTTTAACTTTTACATTTGATGCAATTATGTTGATATGTGTACAAGCAATTTATTAACGCCATAATCTAAATAAATATGAAGCTTAATCCGCCATCTTTTTATTTATTTTGATTGTTGTCATGTTGATGTTATGCTCTACGGCCCGCAGTGCTACCATACTAAGAATACGAATAATTTAAATAAAAATGTTCAAAATTTTGGCGCGTTTTAAATACTGATTATTTAAAATTATTTCTTACTTTTAGGAAGAAAAGTTAATCAATGAGACTTAATAATAAAATAAATAATAATAAATAAAATAATAATAAATAAATAATTAGAAGATCATTATTCTAGTATTCTAGTATTATTCTAATAATAAAATTATCTACATACTACTTATGTGTGGATTCAAAATTATTTGAAATTACTTATGTGATTTAATTAATAGAATAACTTAGTTTCTTGTTAAGGATGAAGACAAAATTGAAAATATTTATATATATTATCAATTACAGTGAATATTTGATTATTATAACAATCTTTATATCAAAAAATACATAACAACCAAACCGTTACTTTAACATTTAAGCATTTCAATGCATTCATCATTCGTTGTAGCATTTTTAATAAAATAGGCTAAATATGCATGTAGATATATATTCATAATTAACTTTTACATTAGTAAAAATATTTTTTTGTTTAATGTCATTATAATTTAATTATCAGTCACTCATAATACAATTCTAAATAATCAGATTTTATAATAGTATTCTAAATAATCAGTAAGGCATAATATGGCATTAATTAAAGTTATAAAAATAACATCATATCAATAAAATTAATATATAATATCAATATAAGCTCTGCAAGATTATATAAATAATCATAATGGAAACTGATTTTTTGATTACGATTCAAATATTTATGAACAATTTTATATACAAGGGTCTTAAATATATATATATATATATATATATATATATATATAATTTATGATAGAGTAACTATTTAAATATGGATATTTTAATCATAATTGAATTTGCTCATTTAAACAGTCACTCTTTAAAATATATCAGAAAATTTATGTATCTACATAGATATCACATTAGTTCTTGTAGAATATTCGATTAAAACCATATCATGGTATTCCAAAAGGTACGACAAGATCTTCTTTGTGTTGAACAAATATTTTCTTCATTGCGGCTAATGCTTTATCTGACGCATCATTAATAAGCTGTTGATCTGCAGCTGAAATTGGATTGGTTCCAAGGACTTTTTCAGGAGCACTAATGTCAATCAACAAACAATGAGGTCCTACAGGTGATATTTGAATATTATTCCAAGCCTGCATCATTCTTTGATTGTAAAGTCTTATTCTGTCCATATAATCGTGCTGTTCTAATGTATGAGAGTCCATCGCCGCAACATCTATAACATTTGTCGCAGTTTCTTGTAAAATCCTATTGAGTGCTGATTGTTCATCAGTTTTTTTCGGAACTGAATTAGGATAACGGTTTAAAAAGTCATCGCTGTTTACTCTCTGTATCGTAGTATTATTGCTAACTGGGTCAACTAACAAATGCGTTCTTTCATTGATTTCGCCTTCGTTTGAGGAATTCTCCTCTTTGCAACTAAAACAGCAACCCATATTACAAAAACACGTTCTGAGCAATGCACTAAAACTACTAATTATATTATCCATTTGTGTATAATTTTATAAAACTACGCAATCAACTGTTACGAACGCAATCAACAAAAATATTTAAGTACGAAATCATAATTGTACGATAGTGATATCAATTTGACATTTCTTGCACATAGGAGCAAGAGATGCATAGCGACGTGAGATAAGAAATTCATGAGCTGCGTCTCCACCAACATACATATACGGCGGTGATTCAGATCCATTTTTTTTTTTGTGTTGGTGATATTTGATACAGATGGGAACGAATAATTTTCTTTCTCAAGAATAATATATTTATATTTTATAATAACAATTTAAAGAATTAAAATTAAAATTTAAATTATAAAGATAGAAAAACTAGTGGTGCATGGCATCGTATCTTAAGGCAAATTGCGGGAACTTTCAGTATCAGAAATTAAAACTTTTTAAAAAAGCGTTAAAATTTTTTAATTCTTTTTTTTTTTGAAAAAAAAATTAGATTTTTGAAAATTAAAATTTTACTTTGTTTTGATTTTTGTTGACAATTTTGAACTTTTTAATTTCCCGTAGGGCAAGTTATAGTAAGCAAAAAAATCGAAAAAGAAAATTTTTATATAACTTTACTTTTCAAAGGTTTTTGCCACGTGTTTTCGAAACGGCTGGTTCTGCCTTTGCCAAAAACTAATAAGCACGTCTCTCCACAGGGGCGTATCAGCCACTACCGCCGTATCAGCCGTATCAAAAATATGGGGCCCCTGAGCCAGGGGGGCCCCCAACGAGCATAACAGAAAATAAAACAACAATTTTTTTAAAAAAATTAATAATTTTAACGTAGTTTGCATTTCCTTTTGTTATCGAGAGGTATTGAACTTCAACTTGTAAGCTCTAGTAATCAATTCAATTAGTAAAGCTTTTGCACATCCCATAAATTAATATTTTTGTCAACAAATCTATAAAACTAATCCAGTTTATAAATTCTTCATCGAAAATTGGAATTTTTATAGTTAAATTTCTAACATTTTTATATTTATTTCTGTTACTAGTTGTATTGTCTGCATGATGCATCAGTTTAATAATTAGATTTTGATAATATGATCAACTAAATCATTTTCAGATTAATTTCTTCACTGTTTCCAATTATTAGTTATTTTCTGAAACTTTACAACATGCCAGCAATGTCTTACAAAAACTAGTAATTTGTTAAGTAATCTTTTGAATAGACTGTGCAAATTAAGATATGAAAATTTATTGAATTAGTTTGCTAAAAAAAGTCCAAATAGTTTGCAAAAAAGATGGATTGCAATAACTATTTTAAAGAACAAAAGATAAAGATATTGAAGGGTTATTATGATGAGTTATCACGTTATCAATAAGATGAGATAATCAAGATGAGAGAATTTTTGACCAAAAATTTTATTTTAATGTGTACTATTGCTGTTTGATATAGTATTTTTACAAACCAAACAAAGATTTCAAAATCTTAGCGACGTAAAAGTAGTAATATTTGTCTTTTTGAAATCGAGAATTAATAAACGTTTCCGGAAAATTGTCAGTTAAATTACTGCAAAGAAATACTGTAAATATGTACGAACATGAAATATTGTATATATTGATGGTTCTAGAAATAAGTTTGAATACAAAAATCTAGGAAATTTAAGAAATGCAATAGGGTTGCTTGCATCGAGTTTTCCTAATGAAATAACAGTAACCATTTTATTCCTGGTCCTTCTTCCAGTTACAATCGCAACTGCTAAAAGAAATTTTTAAAATTAAAACTAAATAAAAATTACGTAAAAACTTTATGACATAAATGTATACCAGACCTGTATGTTCCTAGAAACAGAAACTTTATAAAATTATAAGATTATTCAATAATTCAGTTTTTCAAAAAAGGCAAGAAGAGTGAGATCTGGAATCATTTGTGAAAAATTCAGAAAATTAAAGAAAATTATATAAATGAATAATTAGAATGATAAATGAATATTCTTTTAATGTTATGTATTTTTATATATCGTAAAAAAAAAATTCTTCTTGAGGGGGCCCCAAACAAATTTTGACACGGGGCGCCGCCAAGTCACGCTACGCCCCTGTCTCTCCATCAATACAAATAGAATATTTTTTGAATTATTTAACTTGGTTGATTTGCGTTCCCGTAATCGTCGACAAAAAAATTGTTTCCACACAAACATCAATTTGCTCTGCTAAAATATAAATCTTTGAAAAGTATGAATTTTTTTTTTCGATTTTTTTGCGATTACTTAACTTATATATGGGAAGTTAAAAATTAAAAAAAATATAATTAATTAAATTTTTTACTATCGCAAAATTATGCTAGTCATTTTGCCTTAATTTTCTCTGTAGTCCTTTGACATTTAAGCTTAAATTAGGTAAGAATCTCAGAACTCGAGATACCCAGCATTAGGTCTGTAAGTACTTGTATATTGACAACCTATAAAGCTGTCTCAAAACCTACATATGGTATTGACACCCTACAATATGTAGCTTTTGAGACAACTTTAGGGCGCAATATACAAGTATTTACAGACTTACAGCTGGGTATTTCGAATTCCGAGAAGAACTTACTATAATGACTGGTATAATTTTTGAATAAAGCTAAAAAAAATTTAATGTTTGTATAAAAGCTTAAATATAAAATTCGTAAAACTCTTTATTATTATTACTTCTCAAAACTCAAGAAAGCCGCTGCAATGTTAATGATTTTTCCTGTTCTATAGAAGCATGAATCAAACTTAAATTAAAATTTTAGTTTACGGTGATCGATAATGTGTACATTTAAAAAGCATTGCACAAGCAGTTTCATGTACTTTGATATCTGTAATATGAATGTTATACTTTATACTTGATATAAAAATATTAATGGGTAGTACTGACCTGGGTCTGTGAGCTGAGTTAAACTCCAACTTGATTCTGGGCAGAATATTGTAAGAGATTTCCCATTGCCATTTCACACCGCAGTGCCCGAAATAGCTATTTTCAAGTGGAAACATATTTTTGATGTATATTTTGAAGTAAAAATGGGCATTGCTACTGCACAATATCAAGTTATCCAGAGCTAGAGTTCATACTCACAAGCCCGCCCACCTGAGGCCATGTGGTTAACCATTATGCCGAGGAACACCTTTTATATATATATATATATATATATATATATATATATCTTCCCTGAATCAAACTGGAGCAAGGGCAGTACTATTATTTAATTATTATATTATTATCAAAAATCTTTAACCTTTTTTCATTTCTAAAAGTTTTTTTTTAATTTATTAAAAATATGAGTAAATACATAATGATTTCTTCTTGAATAAACATCTTTACATCATTATTAACTATCAATATTTTTCCAATTTTCAATAGATTTTTGCACTATAAATCTAACAATACGACTTTGATTGTTTAGACATCTTTTAAGACATGCCAGAACCTGTTGTTTATATTGTAAAAGTTTGATTAAATATTTCTTTGATGTTCCATAATGACTGACAATATATAAGGTTATTTTTTGATTTTCCTGCAAAATAAAATAATAATTAGATCACATTTTTTTTGATAAATTACATTGATTTTAAAATGTACTTGATGGTCAGAAGTTTCCAATAAATGCAGTACTCTTGGTAACATTTTATCTACGTTTTCATAAAGTGATGAACATAAACCATTTTCATCGGGAGATAATTCCAAAATATTTTTAGTATTATACAAGCTTATCCACTGCAAATCTTTATCCTCACTTCTTATAGAATCAACTAATATTGTAGTAAGCTGAAAAATAACAGATTGCAATAAAAATATCAATTCATGAATAGTCAATATAAATTTGAATTTGATCATTCATATACTCACAATATCTTTGTACATATGTAAAATAGTTTTTGGAATACATGTTATCATCAAATTATAAGTAAATAATCTGATATCAGGTTTCATCATTTTAGAATTGAATAACTTTTCAGTAGTAACAAATAATCTTTGTTTATGCAAAATGCTGATGTTTCCATTGGGTATTGGACATTCGTAACACAAAATTCTATAAATCGTGGGAATATGAGAATCATCAAGATCTGCACACTAGAAGATAAACAAATACTTAGTTGTAGTAAAATGTGCTAACAGTGGATTTTACACAAAAAACAATAATAAAATAAACTAGTTGTAAGTGGCATATGCCTTATGGCAACTTGAATGAACTTCCTGAAATGTGTAAATAATCGACTTACAATACATCTTATTTATGAGTGTCTTATATAGGTACCCTGAGTTCCTGTATGACAACTTATGTTATAAACTATTGCACATTATTTAATAATATACAAATTTTTTATTACACATTATTTATTATTCACGGAGAACTTTCTAAAATCCAAATTTGAATTAATTTTGAGAATCGAAGGACTACATTTTAATATGCTCATAAACATAAAGCCTACTCTATCACCATACTAAGTTTCAAGGAAATCGTCGAATTTTTACGAAGCAACAGCCTGCCGAAATTTATCAAAAACTAATCCGCACAATTTCCAAATAATATCTTTCAAATAGTTTTTGAATTCATAAAATCTAATCAGGATTTTAGGCTAAAACTGAACGAAATTTTTACACTATTCTGCTAATTCTAAAGAAATGGCTCAACGGATCGTATCAAAAAACAAACCAAGGCGAGTCTTATCATGTTTCATCAAATGGCTTTTAAGTTTTTGAAATCGGTTCAGCCGTTTTTGGGAAAACGCCGACGAAAGGTCAAAAATGAGCTAACATACACACACCTGCTTTTTCAAAATTTGGTCACATTCGATTCAGAATGACTTGAAACGTCGGGAAAACATAAAATTGGCGAATGGGATTTGTTCGCGAAAACAAACTTCTCCTTCAGAAAGTTAATTAATTATTAATTATATATAACTAGTGGTGAATGGCAAATTCCTGAAATTTTCCTAACCAAAATTTAAGATCTTCAATAGCTTTAAATTTAAAAAGTTCCTGAAAAAAAACGACTTTTATGAAGATTTGGAAATTTCATAAAAGAATTGGAAACAAATATGGTACTCATTATAAAAATCTCTACAAAATATACGATAATTTGTTTTCTAATTATCAGAATGTTCAGAAACCTTTGAAACGTTGAAATATGCAAGATTTTCGATTTTTGGATGATTACTTGAACCTGCCCTGAAGGAAGTTAAAAAAGGTTTACATTTAGGTAATATCTATCAATAAAATTAGACCTGGTTTATTAATATATCAAAGCACAAAGTACCGAAATACTGAATATTTTGGGTCTGATACATTTGTTTCATGTTACTTGTTCAATCAACATAAAATTACTAATATGTTTTGAGAAAAAGTATCAGAATAATTCTCACATTTTGTATAAATTTAAAACCATATAAAACATACAATATATGAAGTACCTTTCTCAGCAAATCCTCATATTTTTTGTCACTGCGCAATAGCAATCCTTTTGCTAGCCAAGAAGAGCTTTCTACTTTCCGCAATAATAATCCTTCATTGCTCTCATAATTCAACTTACTCAATAATAAACTTGATAATTCTTCACTAACTATTTTGTTGATTAAATAGTACATAGTCATGTTTGCAAAAAATCTTTCTATGGGAGAATCGCTCAAAGCAGATTTCACCAGACAACTTATTAAATCAGTTATATAATTTATTTGAAGTTCAGATTTGTTTATTCCATATATTATTCCTGAATAAATATTAAAAAATGTATTAATAATAAAATTAAAATAATTATATGAATTTGATTATATAAGTTATATATTTCAACAATCATAAATATCATGTTGAAATTATATATATATATATATATATATATATATATATATATATATATATATAATATACCTAGTTCTATGCAAATTTCTCAATATTAAAAATTTCTTACCATTGTATAAAGCCAAAGTTTTACAATTCCATATAGAACATCTATTCCTGCCTAATACGTTGTTCAGTTGTTCTGCAGAAGATTGTTGAGATATAATTACAAAAATATTTCTTACACCATAAAGCAAATTCTCATCCATGACAACATCACTACTTTGCAAAGTATTTTCAATAGAATCAATAAAATCATATTCTTCTATAAGTGTTTTCACAATATTGAATTTGTCATTTGAATCATTCACAGCCTCATATACATCAAGAAATTTTAGCAGTATTTTTTGAAACAATGCAGGATTCTTCAAATGTTCAATAAAACATTGGCAGCATGTTTTTGAAACTTTGCTTTTAAACATTAGTCTTATTAAAATTTCTATTTTAGTTTCAGTTATTTCATTTGCAAGTAATAACGGCATAAATATTTCAGTAAATTGCTCATCTTTTTCAGACATTTGTTGCAACATAGTTAAATTGAATGGAATTAGAGACTTGTCCTTAACAATACCTTGCAAAATTGTGTTATAAATATTTTCTTTTAAAGAATCTAAATTTTTATTTAACATAATTATGCAAGACGACATCATAACTAATATTTTTATGTCATTTGTTTTTTGATTTGTAAACCAATTCACAAAATCTGTGAAAATCTTTGATTCCAGATCAGCTTTTGTACTTTGATAACTGTGCAATAGCATATATAATTGACTCACAGTGTTTATTGTAACATTTTTCGTTATGATTATAGGAATTACTCTATTCAAAATTTTCTCACAAGCACTTTTAGAACCTAAAGCTGTTGCATATAAAACATATGTAGCAATTAAATGCTGTTGTGTCATTGAATCATCGAGTAGAAATATTAGGCAAAAATTCAATACGGTATCAACAAATTCATGTAAAGACTCTTGCAAAGTTTCCGATAATCTGCACAAAAGAATCAGGCTAAGTGAACAAGTTTTAGCTTCACAGCCTCTCAAAATTTCTAGCCTCAATAACTTTGTCATTTCATGTAAATGTGGTTTGTAATCAGAATCTCCATAAATATCACAACTTTCTATCTGCAAAAAGAAAATGATAAAAATATAATCATTTTTATTTGAATTCTGGGAATGACATAATTTTCACTTATATTAAATTTTATTAATAGAAATTTATAGTATGTAATATTTAATATACAGAGTGTCTCAGAACTCAACATCAAGTCCATTTGCTTATTTCTTAAAACATTGTAGCCCTATAAATGTTATTTGTGAATATGGATCCAAAGCATAAATGAACCAGATTAATAAAAATTAACCATAATAAGAAAAAATGTCATATTTTCACCAAAGCACTAGGTTGCTTTTGAAAGCTCATGATTATCCAACCATGTAAGATATTTTTTTTTCATAACTTTTTACATGATAGTTATGATCAATACTGTCACCTCGGTTCGACTCGATGTTGAGTTCTGGGACACCCTGTATATATACAGTCAACATTTTGCAAATTGAAATGCAATATAGCAAAATTTCTTCAACAAGTTTACTCAAAGCTAAACCAATCAATGCAATATTTAATGATTTTAATTATAATAGTTAGAAGTTACTAAAAAGTCAATTTACCACTTTACTTAAAAAATTCCAATGAATCAATTTTAGCTACTTCAAAATCTGAATCAAGTTTTTCTAAAGCCAGAGGAATAGCATACTTTGCAAATGCTTTATAAGCTAATAAACTTTTTTTAAGTAATTTAGCCAAATTATCTCGAGTGTATGGCCTGTCTGGTTCAACAGGGGCTGAAAAATCAATTGGGAAATATACACCAAATACCTAGAATGAAAATAAATAATTATATTTGGATTACTATGCTTTATCTGATTTACATCAAATATTCAGAATAAAAATAAATGGAAAAATGTAAATAAATAGAAATAGAATAGAATATAAAGAAAAAGAAATAGAATAGAATAAAAATAAACAGAAAAAAGTAAAACCTAGAACAAAAATAAATATTCATCATTATATTTTAAACTAGCTGTAAGTGGAATTCTATCTTGAGGCAATTATGGCATCGTGCCTTAAGGCAAATTGCTGGAACTTCCCGTACCGTAACGAAATGTTCGTGGAATACTGAATGTTTTCAAATATATTATTATAAATATTGTAACATTGTCTAATATTTATAAGAATTATATAAACTGGATTGCAGAGTTGAAATTATTTGCAAAGTATATTAGAACTATAGTCAGAATTAAAAATCTAAATACTGAATGTTTTCAAATATATTATTATAAATATTGTAACATTGTCTAATATTTATAAGAATTATATAAACTGGATTGCAGAGTTGAAATTATTTGCAAAGTATATTAGAACTATAGTCAGAATTAAAAATAAAATCTAAAATATTTTCGATATACAAAAAAAAAAAAAAAAAAAAAAAAAAAAAAAAAAAATTGTAACAAATTTTTTCCCAAAATCAATTATTTTGTTAAGACAAGCAGAAAGTTCTTTGAATCATTTAAATCGGACGCTTAGTTCTCTCAAAAATTGCCATTTTTTACATATTTAGCTCCGTATCTTCAAAATGGCTGGGTCTGCCTTTGCCAAAAACTAATAAACACTTCCCCCAATCATTACTAAATGAATGTTTTTTAGATCATTCAAATCGGATACTCCCTTCTCTCAAAAATTCGATTTCTATTTTCTGCACTCTTTGCTCCGTATCTCCGAAATGGTTGAACCTGCCTTTGCCAAAAACTAATCAGCTCTTTTCCCTATCAATAGGAACACACACACATCCATTTTTTCTGAGGTATGCCAAAACGTTCAGAAACCTTCAAAACGTCGAGAAATGTAAAAATTTTCAATTCCGATTTTCGGCCCATTACAATAACTTACCCTACGGGAAGTTAATTAATATGCATTTTCTGATTTACCTCAAATATATCAATATAGAAATAAATAGAAAAATATAAATAAATAAAAATAGATTAGAATAGTATATAAAAAAAGGAAATAGAATAGAATAAAAATAAATACCAAAAAAAATAAAACCTAGAACAAAAATAAATATTTATCATTATATTTTAGATTAATATGCATTTTCTGAATTACCTCAAATATATCTTCTGAGATTTCAGCATTTGGCAACAATTTACTCAATTCAACAAAACTTTTGAAATTTAAAACTAAAACTTGAGGATCTCTTTCTCCATCAACTGACTCTATAAAACTTTTCAATATATCATCACCCATTTCTTGAATTGCTAAAAAAAATCATGTTACTGAATAAATAACAGAGTAATTTTAAAAACAACATAATATGAATTTATTTAATTATTTCATTTAGTTTCAAAAAATGAGTTCATTATTATTGATAATAATATATATTTTGTATATCTCAGGTTGAGCAGAAGTGTCTAGTAAGAGAGATCATTTAATATTTATAGATTTTCTTATCATTCATTTAATTATTCAATCATATGTATATTTATAAAGATTATTAATTTATGTTACAAAAAAGCTAACAAAAAATAGATATAAATACTTGCAAATTAAATATTGGCAATATTTTATTTATCATTACCTTTAGGATATTTGGCAAAACTTAATCTCAATATAGTCATATAAACTAATCTGTCCTTTTTGTCCTGCTGCTGACATGGCACATTATCGAATAAAACATCCAATATTTTCTTCACACAATCTGCATCCAGATTTTCCATTGAGAGTAAAACCAATACAGCCGTTAAATTTGCTGATGCCATTGAATTATGATCTTTCAATCGATCACATATGTACTCAGATAATTGAGTAAGCTCTTTTGAATTTAGCAATGATTTAGGCAGTTCTCGCATTACATTTGTGAGAAAAGATATACCACCACCTAAAAAATATGAAAACAAACTTATAAGAAACTTGGAAAAAATACAATTTTATTATATATAAAGTGAAGAATAAGATGTAAGAGGATAATTATACCTGTTGTTACATATTGTTATACACTTTTGAAGTAAAACTTCTTTAGGCGCGACTAGGGTGTAAAACTGTGAGAATGCAACGGAAATAGCGTTACGCCCGAACTGTACGTCATTCGCTTTGAATGAAATCATTTCTATACGGGTCGATTGTGATTACTCGCCGTGTCGCGTGAATAGAGATCTGCCGTTGTATGCGTACCTGCATCAACGTTGTATGCGTATCGGAATCGACAAGGAAATCAGCATAGATAAATAAACATTTTAAGGTTTTATGGTAATACAAATCTTGATTTAATAAAAAAAATGCATAAATCTTTTACCCTGTAGAAGGATATTTTACCCTGATCGCCGCAAATAATTATAATAAAAATAATAAAACAAATGAAACATTTGTGCCGTGTACTAAACAAAAGTTTATTGAAATAATTTCTATATTATTCGTAGTTTCTATAAATTTTTAAAGCAATTAAAATGGAAAATATTTTTTAGGCAAGACAGATATTTCAGCTGCTCAAATGAGATTGTATCACAAGCAAAAAAGTAAAAAAAAAATACAAGCAGTCAATGAATGTATGCTAATTTTAATTACATGAAGTTCTTAAAACCCAATTATTACATGATGAGTGAAATTGTGAAAACAATATTTCTTTAGGGGTTGTTTAACATAAACCACTGTGTGAACAAATATAGAATTTATTAATCAGCAATTACTTCATTTCTCTAATAAAGGTTCAAGTTGTAAATGCTAATTACAATGACAAACCGATCATGTCATATTTGAAGTATGACTTTAATTACATTATTGTTTTCAAATATTATAAATACTTTTAATGCAATTATAAATATATAATTTATAATTTATTATTATATAAATGTGTATAATGGTTGACACTAATAAATGTGTGCATCATGAGTGTTATCATATTACTAATAAACATTATTCAAAATGGTTATATGATGTATTTATTTTTAACTTAAATGCCATCTCGTAAAATAGCAAAAAAGTTTTACTTCATTGCATGTGAACCTTACTGGCACTCTTTTTTCTTGTACTTACCTCGATATAATGGTTCTGGATGTGTTAGACATTCCTTTAAACTAATGACAACCTTCAATATATCACAATTTCCTTTTACAATTTCTGAAAAAATCAATGAAAGAATTAAATATATCATGTATTAATAAAATTGTTATAGCTTTTTTCTTTAACACTTATCACCATGTCACTCAAGTTTCTGAACAATATATTTATCCAAGAAAAGTTTTGTAAAATGTTTTAAAACTAAATTAGATTTCTGAAACAAATCTCTCCTCGATTAGGCATAGTAAATAGAAAGAATAAAATGGTAATGGTAATATAAATACAATTACTTTGCAAATAATTGGAAAATACAAAACATACATTTAGACAAAATGACATTCTTGTTATGATAAATAATTCCATAGTACAAAACCTGATATCGAAAACTTAATTAGTATAAAGGACAACTGAATAATATAAATGATGTATCGTGGAATTACTTAATATATTTTTCTCTATATGTTATATTTATATTATATTATATAAATATATATTATTTTCTTTACCTGCTGCAATTTCTTTGCATTGTTTCAACGCACTTCCATTGCGAATTTCTTCAAGAGATATTTGTAGTTCATACATTTTTAGACAGTTAATAAATATTAAATAAAATATAAAATATTTAAGTAAAATTATAACAATTGTAATTATACAATGACAGACAATTGTAATTATACAATGTATCAATTAAATTGACAATCTAACAAATATAATTTTGAGGTTAACTAACTCACAGACAAATATAAATTATTATATAAAGTAATTCAAGAGACATATGATTATAATATGGAATTGTTTAGTTACTTTAACAACTATGTTTTTAGATCAAATACACATATTGATAATCATTAAATAGTTAAATTATTATCCCATACGTTGTGTATTCACTAGCACGTTGTCAAAACACATTTCTAACCTCTAAATGCACTTCAAAAAATTAATAAATATTATTTTCCAATTTTTTGCAAAAGTAATTTTGCATCAACTCTGACATTTCCTTGCTCTAGCTTAATCTCGATATAACTTGCATAAACAATAAACGTCAAATTAAAAATTTTGTATGATAGATTACACTTCCAGGGATGTACAACCCCTTGACAATATAATAATGGTACAATCTTTAACGGCTTAGACAGAATTTTTAACTTCCCGTAGGGCATAGTAATCGCAAAAAAAAATTGAAAATGAAATTTTTTATATATCTTTACGTTTCAGAGGTTTCTGAACATTTTGGCATACCTTTAAAAAAATGGATGTATGTGTGTGTGCGGATACAAATTTTTGTCGACGATTTCGAGAACACCGATCAACCGATTTGAATTTGATTCGTATTAATAAGGAGACGTGCTGATTAGTTTTTTGCGAAGGCAGGTCTAGCCGTTCCAAAGATACGGGGCAAAAAGTGCCAAAAAACGGTAACTCAGTTTTTAAGAGAACGGAGCGTCCGATTTTAATAATTCAAAAAACATTTTACTTGCATTGACAAGATGAAGAACTGGTTAAATTTTTGAGAAGGCAGGTCCAGCGATTATGGACTCTCAGTAAAAATAAGTTAAAAATTGTCATTTGGCGGTCAAAAATGTTTATTGGACATATGTGCATCAAATTATCAGATATTTTATAGAGATTTTAGTAATGTGTACACATTTTTTTGGGTTCCGTACCAAGATTTTTAATTACGATACGGAAAGTTCCAGCAATTTGCCTTAAGGCACGATGCCATGCACCCCATTAGTCTGGAATTTTTGTTAATAACGAGGTGTTTTTGAAATTAATTTCAAATTTAATATAAAACTAGTGGTGTATGGCATTGTGCCTTAAGGCAAATTGCTAAAACTTTTCGTTGCGTAATTAAATATTAAATGTTTTTAAATATATTATTATAATGCTGTAATATTATGAATATATCATATTCTAATGTTATCTAGGACTGTAATTTTTATTTTTCTTATGAACAATTTTTATTATTATAGACAAAATAGAAAAGCTTATAATTTATACTATAACATTTATATAAGTTTGCATGAAAAGTGAATAAACAAAAGTTTAAAAATTTATCCCGAGTATTTTTAACTAAAATTAGAATTAGCAAGTAATTTTAGCTAAAATTAAAATTAAAATCCGAATAATTTTCGATATTCAAAAAAAATTAATGATAATAATAATAGTTCCTAAAAATTAAAAAAAAGTTTCTCCCAAAATAATAGTTTCGTCAATACCAGTAAAAAGATTTTTTGAATCATTCAAATCTTCATTCTCTCAAAAACTGCCACTTTTTGCACATTTAGCTCTTGGTATCTCCGAAACGGCTGCACCTGTCTTTGCCAAAAACTAATCACCACTCCACATTATTACGAATTGAATGTTTTTTGAATCATTCAAATCCTATGCTCTGTACTCTCAAAAACTCGATTTCTATTCCTCACTTTTTGCTTCGCATCTCCGAATCGGCTGGACCAACTTTTGCTAAAAACTAATGAACACGATTCAAATCGGTGTACCGGTATGCTCCCAAAAACGTCGAGAAAAAATTGTATCCATATATATACATACATACTACATACATGTAACCCCATAAACATGTTTCTAATTGTAAGGTACTTCAAAACGTGAAGATCTGCAAAAATTTTCAATTTCGATTTTTGGCCGATTACTATAACTTACCCAACGGAAAAATACTAGGTGTAAGTGGCATAAATTTTAATATTAAACTTAAGAGCGCGGCACATTATTCCAAACTTTAACGATTTTTTATAATTTAACTTTTTGTAGGATTATATAATTTAATGATATTCACACAGGCAATAAACACTATTATCATATTTTTTTCTTAATTTCATAAAACATAAATTTCCAACAATTAATTACGAGGAAATGGTCCGGCCGAACAACACCAAAAACTAACACCATTCCCATAGATAAAAGAGTATTCCCAACTGAAATATCTTGAATTTCCAAAATTCAGATTTTTTTGCGAAAACGTGAAAGAAATATTTTGCAGTTTTCTGGTAATTTTGAAGCAAATTAACTTCTACATATGGCTTATATATTATTGATAAAAGTGTTCAGACGTATTTGAGGAAAAATCTAAGGTGGGTCAATTTCAGGGCATTATAAAAGTGCTGCTTATTTTTCCAAACCTTGTTGAAGATGATATTTTAAAATTAATTAACTTATCATAGGCTCATAATATTGTAGTATGTTCTTTAAGATCGTGATCTTTTATTAAAAACAAAGAAAAAATTTAAAAGAAAAACCAGGACGATCTCTACCAAAAACAAATCAGCAAAATTTCCAACAGATTTCTTTTTTTGTTTGAACTTATAAAATCAGTACAAAACCTTTGGCTAAAACGTGGATTAAAAATTTTCACACTTTTCTGCTAATAATAAAAAAAACGGCTTCTTCTTATCGAATTACATCAAATGGTTTTTGACTGTTGAAACCTTTTCCGCCGTTTTTCAGAAAATGTAGAGAAAAGGTCAAAAATGGCTTACACACACTTACTTTTTGCTAATTTGATTAGAGCGACTCAGAATAACTTGAAATGTCGAGCAAATATAAAATTAGTTTCGGATTTTCTGGTGAAACCATAAACTTCTCCTTCTTCAGGAATCCAATATGGGTAAACCTTTGGGTTACCATCTAAATTCGGCGTAAGTGGAGAACTCGTGGGACGGAAGTTCTGATTGCTGCTAAAAATGAGAATATAAAATAAAATAACAATTGCAATATTAAATATGTTTTAATATCTATATTTATGTATTATAGTTATTGAAAGATGTGTCATCAAAAATAATTATAATAATGAGTAAAATCATTTATACACATGCGTACAATTTGGTGGTTGCATATATGCGTACATTATATACACATAACTATATACTAAATTAGTGGAAGTGACATTTGATTTCATTTCAACAATTTTATAAGAGTGGTAAATTTGAAATTTATCATAAGTTATGAACACTAAAATGTCAAATAAATATTACCTATCGTAATAAAAATGAGATGGAATGCGTTTAAAATGACTCAGTTACTAGAACACATTTTAATTATATAAATATATATTTTTCATGGAAGAACTTATGAATAGAACATATATCGATCATCTAATTATTTTTACGGATATCATACATACATTCGTACATGAGTATATCAATTCTAAATGCATACTTCTATATAATTAAATATATATGAGAAAGATCACAATGAAGAGTGTATATATTATTATTTACTATGTTTTGTATTCGAATTCATCTATTGGTTTTTATTCTAACATTTGCCATACATATTTTTTTATAACTTAGATGGAATTTATTCCATTGCATATGGAGATGGTTTGGCAATCTACTATCATACCTATATGTATGTATGTATGTATATATATACATATACAAATAAACATATATTTATATATATATATGTCATATATATATATAATATGTATATATTAGGGTGGTCCTTAATATGGACATTTTCGAATTTTTTTTGCTCCCAAGGGCTCATATGCTTCCAAATTAACAAAAATAAATTTTCTAAAAGTTTTAGCTCTTAATAATAGCATTTAGATAGTCCGCAATTTAATTTAGTTCGTACATTTATAATTAAAACTTTTAGAGACTTGAACTTTTAGAGATTTTTTTAAAAATTAATTTGGAAGCAATTGAGCCCTTGGGAGCAAAGAAATTCGAAGATAATCATATTAAGGACCAACCTAATATATATATTAAATTAAGTATGAATTATAAACACACAACACTCTTGGCTCTTTCTTAAATTCACTCTTTATTAAATATTTTAAATCTCATCACATTTTAAGTCTCATCATCACTGAAATATATCTCATATTTTATCACTAAAATATCGACCAGAAGGTTCGTGTTATCCGATGCACAAGCTTGACTGTGGCATATATGTGTGTTGATGACTGGGTGACTAATTTTATTCAATTCAAGTGTTCTTTTCCTTAGGTATGGTAGAAATTATGATACATGAAATAGAGATTATATCAGGATATGTATTTTTTTGTTTTAAAAATACATGATATTTATATTAATGATATAAAAATAAAACACAAGAAGAAATATTTTTATATAGCTACAAAGTATTGTACATATGTATCATGTAAAATGTTAGTATCTGTCCGTAAATTGACTGTATTGTTCGTATTAGCTATTAGCATAGATTTTACTTGATTTGAATAAGTTTAATCATCCGGCCTACACACACTTTTGTTACCTGTAATTGAGCCCTATTCCTTCTCATTCCTATTTGATATTTCATGACTCACCAAGTTGACCTTCAGTCAGTGGGAGGTTTTCAGTCGCCTACAATTCGTATGGCGAGAAGAACAAGTTGGAAGAGTTAACACAGATTGCTATTTTAAATTTTAAATTATTACACTGATGATGAGACAAACCTAGCCTCTAAAAGTTTGTAAAATTAGTATTATTTAATAAATTAGTGCAAAAAAGAGTGCTGTTCGTTCATATTTCTAAATTAATATATATATATATATATATATATATATATATATATATCTATACATACGATATAGGTAGGTCTAATATAGTTAATAAGCACATTTACTATATTGACATAAATATAAATTTTACGATTGTCTT